CTTCCTGATCCTAAAGTGGGGGAGACCGGGTCCCTGCAGGGCCTGTCCATCTCCCTTTGCCAGCACCTGGTTCCCTGTCTGCCTCTCTCTCCCACCCGATCTTCCCTTTCTCTCACGGCCCCAGGCCTTGCGTGTGGTCCCTGAGCTCCTGTTGGACAGAATGGTTTAGAGTTAGGGTGGCCATCTGTGTCTGAAAATCCAGGCTGCCCAGAGGAGGCACTAAGGATACCTGGCTGGATCTCAGCACATTGAGGCCCGGAGCTGAGAGACCAGAGGAAGGAGGGGCCCCGAGGTGAATGGGGAGAGACCGAGACCAAGAGTCCAGAGGCCCGGCTTCCGCTCCTGCCTCTGCCGCTTGGGTGAGCCACAGAGTCTGGAGAAAGAGAGTTTCTACTCCTGTGTGACATGCGGACCATCTCACTTGGCTTCTCCCCCCCTAGAGTCATTGTGAAAATTCCACTAAGGGAATTCACCCCTTGGCAGTGACCAGATGAGCTCGCCAGCTCAACCACACCACCTGGCCCTGTGATGTCAGTTTTGCATAGGAGCTGTCACGCTCAGAATTAACTGCCCAAGGAAGGCCACACAGCTCGTGTGTGACTGTGGGGTCAGAACCCAGGTTTGGGTCTCCTATCCACTCCTCTTTCAGCCCAGGCCCAGCTCTGCTTCATACGTGCAGGCAGCTTATGCGTGATGACTGCTGCCCCAGTGCGTAGGATTTTCCTGTCGCTTCCTGTGGGCTGGCTGGAGTGTTTGGGGGAGGGGAGTGGGCCCCTCGGTGGTGCCACTGCTGCCTTTCTCACTGTCACACAGCAGCACTTGGGCGCCTCCTGCAGGTCCAAGGGTGATTGCTAGTGTGGATGAGGGAGACGTGCAGTGGAGAAAAACACAGCCGCCAGAACCTGGCTGCCCGGGCTTGGGTCCAAGTTCCTTGCTGTGTAACATGGGGCAAGTTTTGCCACCTTTGTGCTCAGTTTCCTCACCTGTAAGATGATGAAGGTGGTGCCCTCGTTGTAGGGTCGTTGTGAGGATCAAGTGAGCCAGTCAGTGTATAGACTCAGTGCTTGGCCGTATTCCACCACCACTAGTGCACTGAGTTCATTCTGAGCCAGGGCGACCCCACGTGCGTCTGAGTGCAACTATGCTCTGTAGGGTTTTCAAAAAACACTCACTGCCATGGAGTCAGATCCGACTTGTAGCGACCCCTCCTTGGGTTTCTGAGGTGATATCACGACGGAAGTAGATTGCCCAGTCTTCCTTCGTAGGGTTATTGCCCAATCTTCCTTTCGAGGAGTGGCTGGTGGGTTTGAACCGCCAGCCTTCTGGTTAGCACTGTGCCACCAGAGCTCCTTTTGGTTTTGGTTCTGATATTTCAGAAGAAGACCTGTAGGCCTTTTCTTCAAAGACACCTCTGGGTGAACTCGAGCCTCTAACCTTTCGGTTAGTAGCTGAGTTCCCAAACCCTTGGGGCCACCCGTAACTGCTGTTGCCACTGTTATTATCATCACTGTCAGTTATCTGTTGATTATACGCGGTGGAGCGGTGGACTGGGGCAGAGCTGAGCAGGGTCTAGCACCGCCCCGCCCCCCCCCCCCCAACGTTTCTGCCTCTCTCCTGCACCAAGGCCCAGTGACCTCATACCATAATGGAAGGAGAGGCTGGGATCGCTTTGAATCTCAATAGGGAGCCGGCAGCCCTTTCTTTCTCCTGTTTATTCCCTCTGCCACTGGGCCAGTAGCCTGAAGAATGGAGGTCAGGCAGCGCCTTTTCAAAAGAGCTATAGAAACAAGTTGTTGTTTTTTTTTTCTCTGCCGTTCCCTGCCCAGCCAGGCCCCTCCCTGCCCCTCTCTGTCTCCCAGCCTTTTCCTTTTCACCTCTTCCCACCTCCCTCACTCCCACTACCGTATTCTCCTCCAGCCTTTCTGGGCCATTTAATTAGCGTGTTGATTCCCTTTGTCTCGTACTGCCATCGGCCTTCTGTCGTGGCATGTCCCCGTCCCCCCTCCTCTCGCTGCACATGACCTCTTCAGGCAACTTTCCCACGGAAAAAAGGGACACCAGGGCGGGCGGTAGAAGCGGGATGAAGAGGAGGGTTTGGTGGGGGGCAAAGGAGTGTGAATTATTCAGAGACACAAGTGGGGAGTTTCTAAAGGGAGGGAAGGGGCTCTGCAGGGAGGGTGGGAGTCGCCTCTCTGCCCCGTCCTCTGGAACTGAGGCTTCTCCAGGTCCAGCTCGCCTCGGTTGCCGTAGAGACAAGACCATTGTGCTATCTGACTGAGGTCCCTGGGTTGGCTGTGGCTCCCGGAACGCTGCTTCTCACCATGGTTGTCTCAGAGATACTCTCCCTCAGATCCTACTCCCCTGCCGCCTTGCCAGCTCTTCTCATCTTTGGTTTTCTGTTTGAGGCGTGGAAGTTAAAACTTGGCCCCTTCATAACTGGGAATAGCCTAACAGAATGGGAGGGGGTGTTGTTTTTTTGATTGGCCAAAAAGTGGGTGGATCAGACAACTTTGGCTGCGGCCAAGTTGCCCAGGGGATGTGAGAAGCATGCATATCTCTTGCTTGGTGTCTTCTAGAAAAAGGGGTCAGGCTCACAGATCCGGGGCCCCAGACAGGGTAAAGGGCCCTCGGTGGTGCCGACGGTTTGCACTCAACTGCTAACCTAAAAGTTGGCGGTTCAAACCCAGCCAGAGATACCGTGGAGGATAGCTTTGGCAATCTGCTTCTGGGTCGCCATGAGTCGGAATCAACTGGATGGC